CTAGCTAACTTATAATGGACTCTTGTTTCCAGGTTTGGATCATTATTGTAGAACAGCATTCACTGTTGTAATTGAACAAATCCTGTTCAAGACAAAGGATGCCTTCAGCCAAGCAGCAAACCATCCTGCTCATGTGACACTGGAATTCCATGAAGCCCACAAGGAATTCACCCAGAAAGGTTTGTATCTTTACCCTTTAGGTCACAAGATCTGATTGTTAAGTCTCCCCACCAGCTACCACACATTTCTTTGCAAATTACTTACAAGAATTTGGTGTTAGATCAAGGTAACAACTTATACCCGATAAGTTTGAGTATTCTCATTACCTGTTTTCTGGATAATGTACTGACATTATAGGCCTGGGAGATGTGACATTGTACATGTCACTCACTCTTGGGAGTTTTAGGGTGATGTGCTGACCAGTTGGAAGCTTTAACAATCTTCCCTCCCCCCAACCAGGCAACCCATGGGCATTTTGACTGTGGTCCATGTCTGGTGGATGGGGAATTTGAACCTTGCCTGGCTGGGGTGGGGAGTTTGAACCAGGAATGTCAAGCCCTCTTAGTGGAATACAAGGGTTACATCTTTAAATATAGAGGTGTTTAAAGGTGAATAGTTTACTTTTGGAGAGAATGGCTCAGAAAAAAAGTTTCTAAGGTCTAGGTTATAGAGCTTGGTCATTGTGTAGAAAGTAATGGTTGCTGATTTTGCCTTTAAAAAAAAAATAGTATGGGGCAACCACTTTTAAACCATTTAACTCAGCATGAGTGACTAGGATAGAATTTCTCCTTACAATATCATTACAAAATCAAGCAGACAAGAGATGAGAATAAAGACAAATATTAAATAAAGGATTTTTAGTTGATTCAATACTAAATTCCAAATTCTTCAAACCAACATCACAAGAACTATTGCAGACATTGAGGAGAATTACTAATGAGATCTTGGGAGTTAAAGGGTTATGTTAAGTTACATTTTTCCATTTAAAAGAAGTACTCAGTTTCTTCTTCACCCGGCTTCAATATACAACTGTGTCAAGAAAGGTCGAAAAAAAGCGTGAGAGTGCACGCGACAACTCCGAAAGGTACTGTGGGTAGTTTTTAGGTCACGTTTCCTCAACCTTAGTATTTCGGGGAAATCTGAGAAAACGTCAGTGTAAGAAAGAGGCATGGCTGGTTTGATGAATGTATTTATTTGTCTATTTCACTTATTAAAATTCATTGATTTTGAATACCCAAATTACCTCTCAATATTGTCGCGTGCACTTTTGTCCTTTTCTACGACAACCTTGAAAACAGCAGTATTAATTTAAATTAAATTAAATTTCTATTGTACAAATACCAACGTAAAATTTTCATTTGCATATCAGTGGTGTTTTGCTTTCAGCTTTAGCGATGTTTCTTGGCTGGCTGTTGATGTCAGCGGTTGGCGCTATTTTGCAGTTCATGTACACTGCACAAGAAATCGATACAGAATTGTTCATGAAAAGCTGTAGCTGTGGCTGTAATACTGATAGTGCCGTGCCTGATGATAAAGGTGTCCGCTACGTGGTCCTTCCTCCACCCAAATTGAGAGCATTTCTCCTCCATCAAAATGACACTAGACCTTTGATGAAAGACTCGTGGGATGACATTACTCATGTTGAGTTGAATAACCGAGGATCGGGAGCAAGTCGACAATGGTTGCGTTAGATACACTGTGTTAAGGGACCCTGAAACTAGTCTAGGTGTCACGCTACTAGCGGGAAGAAACATTGCGTTAGACAACATTGCGTGACTTATAACTTTGTTTTCATGCTGTGGTATATAAGAATTATTGAACAATCTTGAGGCCAAGATAGCTGGATATTGGCCGAGTTTTTTCGCTTTTTTATTCTGTCGCCTGACCGAACGAGCTTGGCAAATAAAGGATTTATTAAATAGCAAAAAGATTTCCCTTTCAAAAGAATCAAGAATGATTTCTTTATTTCCGAGCGCTGGGAAAGAAAGCCAACTATGGTAACACGTGCTTTTTTTCATTTGACAAATTGAAAAATTATGCAATTTGATAGGAATTCTTCTCGTTTTTACTTGGTCGGGAATGACACTAAGTTCTCTAGTCCCGTTTTCCATTGGACAAAGCCAATTCCATGCTTTCAAATCACTCTCTGTTTTAATTTTTTTCCGGTTTTCGGAATTCGAAATTCCCAGAAATATCATTTATGTTTTTTTTTTTTTTTGACTCCCCTCTATTGCCTCTGGTCACTTCGTTGCCGAAATTCTCCAAAAATTACTCTGGAAGTCCACTCCAAGCAATATTTCTCCTTACGAATTGGTTCGAAGAGCCAATTGAATTACAGGATTTGCTTCATATTGTAGATGGGCGCTGCCAGCTATATGGTAATCATCGATACTGTGGTCTACTTTAAAAGCAGGTGTCCCTTAGTGATCGTGCTACTAGAGGGAAGAAGTGTTGCGTTAAGCAACATATTGGATAATTCATGGATGTGCAGGAAGTTTTGTAACCAGGGCAACACTTTGCTCAAGTACTTTGTTGTAGGAAACGCATCAAAACATAATGGCGCGGTGGTTTTGCTTTCCAGAATCTCCACACTTTCTTATTTCACTTGAAAAATCGTCAGATAGCCTCATTAAAATGTGACAATCCTACAGTTTTTCATACTTTTCAGGTAATTTTATGTGGGGAATATTGTCTTTTGGCCTTAAAAGATTAAAAGCAATATTCCACACTCATTGCGTCGGCGAACTTTATATGATCATTTCATCATCGATTGAGAAATTTTTGAGTGGGGGAATTTTACTCGCCTCATTAAACTTTGGACAATGATTTGCATTGTTTTTGTTTCTTTAGCTTAGCAAAGTAATCTTATTAGAATTAATTTTTTCCAAATTCTAAATTATCATTCAAGTTATCGATAACGAAGTCTCCTCTTTCTAATAACATTCTGATGAAGCTTATATTTCTCCGTCTATGATAATTGGGTTTTATCAACTGAATTTAAAGAGTTTCTAAAACTGAGGTTCAGAGCGTAAAGCCCCTCTCTGGCGAGGGCTAACGCTGGAGACGTCAACCTTAGAAACTTTGAAGGTTAAGTTGCTATTCACTCAGTTAATAAAGCCAAATTACTTGATTTGTGATATTCCCCACTGATGTCCACCGATGCAGCACGACTGAGTTTCAGGAGTTGTGCTCACTCCTTCGAGAGTGAACGCAGAATTTTGGACAAACCAGGCAGTCACTGTCAAAATTTTGATTTTTATTTGTTCGTCTGTCCACCCAGCATCGATCAGGTTATCATAACCATGACCAGCGGGACAAAAATAACTGATGACTTGTTCCTCAGGCACCATCCACGTTACGTTTTCTCTCGCATACATCGGCTTAAATTTCAAAGAAATACTGTACCGCCATCGAATTAGATCAACAGTTACAATTTATTCGGAACGTCAGTGAGTCGTTGTACCATTGAAAAAGAGTCAATCAAATGTCTGCGGAAGATTTCAACCAAACGAATTCACATTATACGCGTTATAGACTGAGATGAACTTGGACGAGGGTCTCAATTTCACCAAAGCAGCTACGCAGAAAATACTTAACAAGTTGGTTTATAGCAAGTGAGTTTAACAAGTTTATGTTATAGTGAATGTGGCTTTTTATACTCTGCTCGCTGAGTTCCCTGTGGTGGTCAAAGGAAAGTCTGGTTCCTCTTAGACGAGGCACCAGTTAACCCTGGTGATATGAATATGGCACCTGTTGGTTGTATTTAAGTGAACACTTAAGTTCTACGAGTTGTCCGCATCATTCGAGCTTTTGATCACAGCACACAGTGATTAGCCTGTTCAGTTTGCGGAGGGCGACTTCAGATAGATTTTAAATTTCGAAGTAATAGACTAAAACAATAAAAAAAATGTACAGTATTTTCAAGTTGAAGTGTACGAAGTTATCATTTTCCTAAAGAAACTCTAGTTTGCTCTGAGTCAGTGAACAGGCAAGACACCTATTCAGTTCAATTTAGTAACAAGAAGTTCTTTAAAAGTACACGTCCACGGTGTAATGATATTTTAGAATATGATGTTTCGAGCGTGAGCCGTTCGCGGGATCAAAGCAACATGAGGGACAATCATCCAATAGTCGGGCTATTACCAACGTCTGAATGGTATTCGACTATAAACGTGATTCAAATAAAAAATAGTCTACGTAAATGCAAATGACCATAAAATACTTAAAGTTTGTCGCTGAGCACAACCCATAGACCTTATATCTGGGGAAAAGCTGGTGATAGCAGAGGTTTCCTACCTCTAGGGCTCACAGATATCGACAAAATGAGCTTCGTGTTATGGGTATTAATTATCCTTCCGTTGATTAAGCCGAAGTCTTTTTGCCATGCCATGGTGCATTTATTGCAGGCATCCAGCCACCGTGACTGTAATCGAGATATCAGCAGTGATTGGTATAGTGGTGTGGGCTGCTGGTTATCGGCTAATTAGGGTAAGTAAGAGAAAAGAACAGAGTAAGTTCACGAGGGGCACCATCCATTTTTAACAAACCCAACGATTAAAACGACGTAGAGGAATTTTCAACAACAATTGAACATAAGCTTAGGGTGCAAATTCAGTTGCTTTCAAGAGGCTCCATCCTCTCTAGTTGTTTTTATATGGTACGTGATAGATGATGTAATGACAACCTTCTTTTCCCTTTTTCAGCCATGCATGTTCCTCGCTGGATTTGTTCTAGGATTCCTCATTTTCTACGTATTCAGCCCACTGATCTTTAAGACACAACTGTGCTGTGGTCCTAACGGGAAGGAAATAGGTCAGTAGGTTCTCTGTAAAGTACTTCAAATCAAATGCGCCCCTCGGCTCCGACGCAAGACGCAAATAATCGTATAACATATATCGTGGACCAAGTCCCACTAAGCTCACTCGTTTTTCAAAATCTCTACTACAAAAAGCCACCCTGTCAAACACTCTGTATAGTTAGAGTGCATGTCCATACAGATCAGGCAAGTGTTGACGTTACCGATCTTTTTTATACACCTTTTTACTAGCCCACGTTTTGTTCAGTGCATTGGTCGGTGTGTTTGGTGGATTTTTAGGATGTCGATTATACAGACTTGGTGTGTTCACAATTGGAGAGTGTCTAGGACTGGTGAGTAGTACCAAGGTTCTCTTTTTAAAGTCACGGGAACCTAAAAAAAAAACTGGTACAGCAATAGCCTCGTATCTCTTGGCTCAATGACGAACTCAACAGTTTCACCATACAATGTAATAAAGCGGTCCTTTGTTTGTAAGATGCACATCTCTCTATTGAAAAAGTAAATTTCTCCTCTTGCCTAGACTTTCCATTAACTACCCTGAAATATTTCGCGCCTAATCTATCGTTCACTGGTGAACGATAACTTTACATGCTTGTCACACAAGGATTTGAGGCTTTATAAGTAGACCAATAACAGTTTTTAGTTGATAAATCTAAAGTATATAAGCTTCTTTGTATGGGATATTGCACAGTTCTCTATTAGTCGAGTTGAGCTTTTCGACAAGGTTTCATGTTTGCGTCGTGACACCGTGTTGAGATTCCGCTTGCATTCTTGTTGTGTGATTTTTAAAGAGTTATGATGACTGAAATAAATTTTGCAGTCATTTATTGTTTTTCAGCTGGTTGGCCTTACAATTCTTAGCACTCCGCTGTACAAGTACTTTCACAGGTATGACTGATTTTTCATGATGTTTTGACCACTTCGATTGCTTTCTTTAAAATTGCAACCATCTCTTAAATTACAGTTACCTCTATACTGACTGAACATGCGCAAAATTCTTCTCTCCTTTTCACGCAGTAACATTGCCTACGCCGCTTTGATGGCAACAGTTTCACTCATGTTCGGATCGCTGGCTCACTTCTATGAGAAACCGGTCGTAGTCATAGCAACAGCTTGCGCTGGATCATTTGCTGTGTTCTATGGTGGGCATAACTGACGTACACTTCCTACTCATAAAGCTTTCTAAAAAGGCCGTAAATCCTCCATTTTATCATCACGACATACATGACAATGAGTCTCTCTAAGGTTACCCTTTCATCCCTAAGAGTGACAGTAGGCCCAATTTCTCCTTAAGATATCACCCCTTAATTACTCTTTCAGTTCATAAGGAAAAAAGAAAGCTCTTGATTCTTAAAAGACTTCTCGTTATCAGCAGCTTAGGAAATGTATGAAGAACAGTAAAGAGAATATGCACACTAATGCTAGGGTGTAAAGGGTTAAATTTACCAAAGTTAAAACATGGCTAGGTATTTATTTTTCTTTGTTTTCC